AATTATTAAAGTGCAATGCAAATTAATGTTAGTTGGTTTTTTTTTATCGTTATCAATTTGCAAATGTTAAAGAAAATATTTTTGTTCTCACTAAAGAAGACTCGTGACTTGTTATTGTAAAGACAATAATAAAATCGATGTAATATATGAATTTAAGTGATTCATAGGATTAAAGAAACAATCATGAATAGCGTCGAATGATTGTAAAATGTTATTAAGCGTAATGAACGTTAACGAGGATCATAAATATTTCCCCCGTGTCTTGCTTATTCGCCGATTAGCATAATCATTCTCGATATTCGCGGACCGTAATTTAAAAATGTCGCAATGAATTGCAAGCAATCTTCTCTTCATAAAAAGAACACCGAGAATTACAATGTATCACAGTATTATTGCCTAAAGAAAACCACCTCGGGCTGCGAATTTTAAGTCTAATGTTGCAAAGAAGTACTGTCTCTTTTAGAATAGCTTTAATTATACTTCCTTTCATACAACATACTGTAATTAATTTTCTTATTACGTACTTTTCTTATTGCAAAATTATACAATAGATTAAAAAAAATAAAATACAAAATCATCCTCCATCATCTTTAATAATGCAATTTATTCCTTATATATTTCTTATGTTGTCCATATTTCTCTGCTCGATTAAATATAATATTTGCGAAAATATTACGAATCAACACTGGATTTAATAACAATTTATATATAATATAAGAACGTGCAGAAAATATTAGAATTCCAGGTTCTCAATAAGGAAGTACAAGTTACATTAAAAAACGATCTCGTGTTGTTTGTCTGATCACAAATATTCATTTCAGAAAACGAGAATTTGATTGCGCGTATTATTGATCCGTCGTTCAATCAAGTCTGTGAATTACGGATCATTACGGGAGAATCGGCTTTTGTAAACGATCAACCCACGCGATCACACGCGGAAGATATCCCAAATGGGGAGGAAGAATTAGGCCCCGCAATCAGCGTCCAATTAAGAGCCAAGATTGCAGCCCACCAACTTCGCGTCTCTTAATTACACAGCGAGATTTCGCCTATCTTAACGTGTTCATTATTGTAGTACCGATGTTGGTTTTGCGGGGCATATTAACGTATCAATTATGCTTATTGGGCAACCTCCCGGCTGTCAAATGCTGTAGAATCAATTAACGAGCCGCGCGTGCGTGCCCGTCAATGGAACATTCGATGTTTAATTATTAGCGTAAATTTCTGGGTTTTAAAGAATACACATTACATTTAAACAATTTAGATATTTATGCAAATATATTATATTAATTTTTCATTGTATATCACAATTTTGAACTATAAAAAAACAATAATTAACTTATTAATCAAACGGGACTTTGCAGAAGATTAAATTTTTTTTATGTTTTATGTACAATCGATAAAAGAATATTATTGTTATTAATATTTATTTCTATTATGTTATAAAATTTCACAATATTCGCGAGTGTATTTTCGATAAAAAAAAAAAAAAAAAAAAAAAAATACATTCGCAAATATAATTCTTTCGAGACTACTTAATAAACGATGTTTACTTTGGTGCATTTTAGAAACGCGCGTTTCTATATATAGAATACAATTCCTTCTCGTCAAAATTTAGCTCGCCTGTCGCGTCGGCACTTCATTCTGCATTTCGCGGTGCGTCCTCATTACCAAAAAGCGGTCTCTCAAAAAAGGGTCGCTGTGCTTGTTAGAATATTTTTCTCTACCACCGCTCGCAATTCGTTAAGGAACGAAGGACTGCATGGGATATACCTGCGAGTCGTCACGTAAATTTCCAGAAAGGGATCTTGTAAAGTTTCTCTTCTATCTCTTCTATCTTTTCTATCTTGCCCTAACGTATTTTTCTCCGTCTTACTTCGCGTAAATCGGTTTTCTTTGAGTCTCTCCTTCTTTGTTCAATTCATTGACGGCACGGGGCAAAGATTATAAATCGAAATCAAAGAGCACAATACAAGAAACGAAATATATAACGAGAGCATAAAGGCTGTTTTATGATTTCTCGAAAAACGAGAACAAAAATCTTTAACGCGATATAATATGCCATGAGAGTTTTGGAAAAAGAGACAGATGCATGAAATGAGAATGAAATCAAAGTAAAATCAAGTATGAGTAATAATATCGATTGCCTGAAAAATCACTTGTCCCTTCAATTCTTAAAGACGCAAGAACTACATATACGTTTAGTATTTCTATACGAATCTCCGCAAAATATTATAATTTGTTTAAACATCCGTGGCTCATAACTTACCTGTTTGAGATCCAAGAGGATCGTCACGTATTCATATTGATCGCCTCTGGCTAACGTTGGGCTTTGCCACCATCTACCAGGACTTGAGCCGAGGACGTTGCTGATGTTATGCCTCTTGCCAGGATCCGGACTCCTAGCATCGCAGACGGCGCATCTCGATGATTCCGAGGGTTTGCAAAAAGTCTCTGGACCCTCCTCACCGCACGTCGCATTTACGTAAACGTCTGCTTTCGCAGCAACATTGAATGTGGATGGAAAGAGGCCACTAGTCTTCAAACTCCTGTTCAGACTACTGTGTGGTCTTTCTCTGTGACCTAAAATTAAAATAAAAAATTTTGTTAGAATAAAATATAAGAAATAATTATGTTCTATCATATAACACAAAAAATTTATATATAATGATACAAGATACAATTATTAAATATTTCTATGACAATATTTTATTTATTATAAATTTTAAACTAACCTATGGGACTTTTTCTAACACCGTCATAACTGTCGATATAAAACTGAAATGAGGCAGATTTCTTGAAAAGCCTGTTGAGTCTGTTACCGTCTAAACTACTGTCAAAATTCCAAAATAGAGCGTCGTTAAAATTTTGCTCTAGCCGTTTATTCTCATTTAGTTTTGTTTTACGAGACTACTGGTATCTTTTATTGGTGAATCGGTACATAGCCGTCGATAAATCATCGTGAGTCTCAGTCCCTAGCTATGTTTATTCTACAAGCGTCTGTCTGTGAGGTTGGAGGTGTACATTAGTGTCTCATAAATTCGTTTGATGCGGGAAATTCATGAAAGAAAAGCTAATTTTACATTAGCCTTCGAAAGAATATTCCTAGATTAAGATTTTATCAAATATTTTCATAAATTTATAACCGATAAAGATTCATTAATCATTATTTTTCATTTCTAAATGAATAGTTATGTCATTTATTATCTATATAAATGATAAATGCAAATGACCTTTTTCTCTCAAAAAAATTGTGACAATAACTTTTGGAAGTTTCTAAAATATTAACTACATAAAAAATGGCAAGAGAACATATTATATTTTTATTAGAAATAAATATACTGATAATAGATTATAATTTAACGTCATATCGTGAACTTCTGACAGTTAACTAGTTTTATACAAAAAACGCTTCTCACATATCTGTTACATGCAATGTTGTCCGATTTCCGGAATATATGTAAGCTCCGATCGATCAGAGATGTCAATTACAGCATACAAACGCACGCGTGTAATTACATTCCGACGAACGTCGATTGTAATTACAATACACCAAAAAAGTCCCTATTTTTCGTGTACGGATCGACGTGCTGTCGGATCCGACCGGCAACATTCTCCGGTCGGGAGAGAACCACGCCACGCGAGCGGAGTGAAAAAGGAGGAGGAATAGAAGAGGAAAGAAACGTGTAATCGAAGCGACGCGATCCCGATCCCTTCATTTTCTGCTAGACGACGCATTCATCGACAGGTTTTGACAGAGCGCAACGCGAAACCAGTTGCGGAGCGACGCGGGGAGATGCAGCGCGAAGATGCGGCGAACAGGTTCGTCGTCGCGCCGGTTCCCCGGCAACACCTGAACGGGTTACCCGCACACATCGTGCGACACGCGAAGAAATGTGACGAGCTATTCGCGAAAGAGAAGGAAAGGGAGAGCGGCGCGAAGGGAAAGAGAGAGAGAGAGAAAAGACACTTTGCGCCGCACCGCGCCTGTGATAATGAATTGATCATCGCGTCGTAAAGATTGCGACGGAAGAAGCAATCGGTTAAGTTCTTTTCCCCGACACGAGAATTAATTAGCGGTTGACAGAAACTTTAATAACTTGTCGTACGTTTTTACCCGCCTTTTGAATTAATATCGCGCGTAAAATTGTATCTGTGATCCTAAGTACATTATTAAGGAGAAAGTGTCAACGTTAACGTATTATTTCCTATGACGACATAATTTCTTTTTTTTAATTTTAAATAAAAATATCGAACGTTTGTTTATAGAGTTTGTAAGATCTCGGCTTTAGATTCTCTGATTGAAGATACGTCTTAAGAATTATGCGATGTATTCTGCCAAAAATCACTGTTATTAGTCAGTTATTATATGTTGCGGGTGGACGACTCGTGATCCATCATACGTGATTAATGTTCACTTCGTGCGGATTACACGCCGCCACGTGAGCGCACGGCGGGAAATAATGATCCTTCGGTATCGCTCATTTAAACAATATTTAATAACAGTCTTGTTAAAGCTCACGCAGCCTCACATATCGCGAGAGAAAGATCGTTAACGTACCGAGCGCTACGCGAAACGTGCTAATCAGATTATACTGATCGCGCTGCAATATTTCACGTCGCTAACGAGTCCTTCGGCATTTTTTCATTTTTTTTGTTTTTTTTTTAATGTAGACTTTTCAGTGTTGACTCATCAGTGTAAAAAGATATATTTTTAATATATTGATTTATAAAAGCTTCCGACAACGCGCTTAAGAGATTTAAGTTTATAATAAAATGATTAATATTTCAAAGTAACATTTCTTTATACTAACTTCTTATCGAGCTTAAGATTATTCTCGAGATTAATCGCCCTTCGTACACAAAGGCGACGTACGCGAAAAGCATCACGCGCAGAGCCAGAGTGTCTCACCAGAAAATCCCTAACAAAACAAATGCCCGTCATGTAAAAGGCGAAGCCTTCGCAGGCCGCTGTTCTTGGGTCCGGTGACGAATCTGTACAAGTCCCACCGAGTCCCCGCGTTCACGTAGCTCCCTATTTCAAGAACAACGTGGCAGAAATCTCCCGGACGTGCTGCTTGCGCCAAACCGCGCGCATTATGCGGGAGTAAAAAAAAAGAAAGCAACTGGGCGTTCGTCGGCGAATGAGCGGACGCGCATTGTGCGCGTGTCGGCCTGCAGTCTGTCGAACCGTTCCTATTCCTCTCGCGACTAGAGCATTGTTCGAAGGGGGAAGGGACTACAATGAGATCTCTTATTAAGAGTATCTAATGATGCAAACACTTCTTTTATCGGTATAAATAAGTGGATCGACATTTTCTGACACAAATATTTAAAATTTTTTCTCTCTCCCCCTCCCCAAAGAAACACTATATAAAATAAATTTTGTATTTGTGCAATGTTCAATACACCGAAAGAGGAAGAAAATATCCGCATCCTATTAAATTACATCAGCGAAAAACATTGTTGTCGTTTTCAAATATGATAATTTTGTTACTAAGAGCTTTTCTTATTTACATCCCTTAATTCCACATTCTCCTGGAAATGCAAGAATACGATTTAAATCCAAACGATCGATTTCTGCGAAGGCTGCGCACCATCCTCGCATCGTCCTCGAAGCCATCCATTTGATTATCGTGAATCATGATCGCCTCTCCCTACTTCACCGATTGCACCCCCGATGCACCTTGCAGCTACTAACGATCGCTCTGCGAATTCCAAAGAGACGTGCTGAGAACGCGCGATGCGTGTCCGACGCGTAGCAAACGTGTGAAACATTGAACGCGGGCGTGGTTTCACGTTGACAGGGGACAGGAGCGAGTGATCAGGAAATTGACGAAGGCTTGGTTCAGAAACATTTACTACGCAGCTATTTGTCATGAGCGATGTATCCTTCCGTTCTTGAATTGGTTTGCCTGCCAATGTTTCAAGCCACGCACGATCCACGATCGGATTATGCAACTCAAGCAATCATGAATACAATGATTCTTTAATGTGAGATTAAGATAGTCAGTATGCGAGGGAAAGTAAAAAATTACAATAAAAAACTTAAGAGTATTAGAGTATAAAAGTGTTAGAAAGTTTGAGTATTATGTTCGTAAAATAGTATAAGTTATTTTACTCAAATGCTGATAGGATAAAAGCATTCGTTTTAAAAAATTTTCTTCCTTTTTACTTTCTCACTCAGAATTCGTTCCATTGAAATCCATTAATCCGAATAATTCCATAATTAGCCATTCATTTAAATGTGTTTGCTAAGAAAACATATTCAGATTTAAAAGGTGTTATTGATTCCCATGTTTAGACTGCATTTAGTGCATCGCTTTCTCTTGTATCTGTACAGGATGTTTCCTGTAACTTGATAACTTAAAATATCTCTACTGTTTTTAATGATACGAAAAACTTGTTTGTTATCATAGGAAAAACTTGTTTGTTTCAAATATGATTCAGACAGTATTTCCTTTAATGCATATTATTTTACGAGATTTCGAGACCATTTTTTTAAATGGGTTTGCATATTTTTATATTACTTAACGTAATAATATATATATATAGTATACATATTCAATAAAAAAAAAATAAAGAAATTCATAGAGGATACATTGACTTTAAGATGATTTAAAAAAAACAGACTTAAATATAATTTTTTTACGTCTTAAGATTAACATATCATATATTAAATTTGTTTCACAAGCTATTCATTACTTTAATAAAAATATGACGATGACATTCCGTTTAAAAAAATGTTGATAATCTCGAAATGATCGAGTTACAGGAAACATTCTGTACACTCCACTTTCTCGTATAAACATATTCTCTTCTTATAATAGTTGCGGCATGGTAAGGGGGAAGATCGCGTGCACGGCGATTCCAGAAAAGGAGCAGAGACAGCGGCATTGTGTCATGTTTGCGCACGAAATCGGAGTCTCCTCCCCTGCCTCGCGCTCCTCTCTTCCTCCGTTTCTCTCGTACTACCATAGAGCAACTTAAACCTGCTACGAGTGACTGATGACGACAGAAATAACCCCTGTTCCGTCTTTCCGCTGGCTGGCCGGCCGGCCGGCCGGCCGGCGTGGCGCGACGCACGTGTCCACGTGCGTGTGTAGTAAGCCTACGCAACGTCGTGCGAGAGAGAGAGAGAGAGAGAGAGAGAGAGAGAGAGAGAGAGAGAGAGAGAGAGAGAGAGAGAGAGAG